AATTTTCCCCAACCCACCACCCCGCTCCTCCGCACACTCCACTGGCTTCCCAGTTGAACTCGCATCTGCTACAAGACCATGGTGCTTGCCTACGGAGCTGTGAGGGGAACGGCACCTCCGTACCTTCAGGCTCTGATCAGTCCCTACACCCAAACGAGGGCATTACGTTCATCCACCTCTGGCCTGCTGGCTCCCCTACCTCTGCTGAAGCACAGTTCCCGCTCAGCCCAGTCAAAACTGTTCGCTGCTCTGGCACCCCAATGGTGGAACAAGCTCCCTCACGACGCCAGGACAGCGGAGTCACTCACCACCTTCCGGAGACATTTGAAACCCCACCTCTTTAAGGAATACCTGGGATAGGGACATGTTGAAAATGTCAGTGAAGACACTTGCCAGTTGGTCAGCGCTCGGAGTACACATCCTGGTAATCCATCTGGCCCTGCGGCCTTGTGAATGTTGACCGGCTTAAAACTCTTACTCACATCGGCTATGGAGAGCGTGATCACATAGTCATCCAGAACAGCTGATGCTCTCATGCATGCTTCAGTGTTGCTTGCCTCGAAGCGAGCATAGAAGTGATTTAGCTTGTCTGGTAGGCTTGTGTCACTGGGCAGCTCGCGGCTGTGCTTCCCTTTGTAGTCTGTAATAGTTTTCAAGCCCTGCCACATTCGACGAGCGTCAGAGCCGGTGTAGTACGATTCAATCTTAGTCCTGTATTAACTCTTTGCCTGTTTGATGGTTCGTCGGAGGGCGTAGCGGGATTTCTTATAAGCGTCCAGGTTAGAGTCCCGCTCCTTGAAAGTGGCAGCTCTACCCTTTAGCTCAGTGCGGATGTTGCCTGTAATCCATGGCTTCTGGTTGGGGTGTGTACGTACAGTCACTGTGGGGACAACGTCATCGATGCACTTATTGGTGAAGCCAGTGACTGATGTGGTGTACTCCTCAATGCTATCGGAAGAATCCCGGAACATATTCCAGTCTTTGCTAGCAAAACAGTCCTGTAGCTTAGCATCTGCGTCATCTGACCACTTCCTTATTAACCGAGTTACTGGTGCTTCCTGCTTTAGTTTTTGCTTATAAGCAGGAATCAGGAGGATAGAGTTATGGTCAGATTTGCCAAATGGAGGGCGAGGGAGAGCTTTGTATGCATCTCTGTGTGTGGAGTAAAGGTGGTCTAGAGTTTATTTTCCTCTGGTTGCACATTTAACATGCTGGTAGAAATTAGGTAGAACGGATTTAAGTTTCCCTGCATTAAAGTCCCCGGCCACTAGGAGCACTGCCTCTGGATGAGCGTTTTCCTGTTTACTTATGGCCTTATACAGCTCATTGAGTGCAATATTAGTGCCAGCATCGGTTTGTGGTGGTAAATAGACAGCTACGAAAAATATAGATGAAAACTCTCTTGGTAAACAGTGTGGTCTACAGCTTATCATGAGATACTCTACCTCAGGCAAGCAAAACCTTGAGACTTCCTTAGTATTAGATTTTATGCACCAGCTGTTGTTTACAAATATACACAGACCGCCACCCCTTGTCTTACCGGAGTCAGCCGTTCTATCCTGCCGATGTAGCGTATATCCCACCAGCTGTATGTTATCCATGTCGTCGTTCAGCCACGACTCGGTGAAACATAAGATATTTCAGTTTTTAATGTCCCTTTGGTAGGATAACCTTAATCTTAGGTCGTCCAATTTATTTTCAAATGATTGAACATTGGCTAATAGGATTGATGGAAGAGGCAGTTTACTTGTATTATGAACAGAGTGGACTAAGTTTTGTAGACTTTACCCTTTGCCAAAGTTTCAGAAAATTGCGTTGTTTAGAAGGAGTGCAAGGGCGAATTGAGTTATTGCACACGCGCACTTCACAGAGTAGGCGTTCCATAACATAAATATGCAAATACATGTTAGAACGCGCCAATAGGATCTCGCTAGCTCGTGCTTGGCTCTGCCCACTTCCTTGCTTGTTCTGCCCACTATGATCAATTTGCTCCCATTTTGCTCCCAGGCTGTGGTCTATCTTGGGTTAGTTATAAAAAATCTTTGCTTCGACTGAGCCTGCAACACTGCTGGCTTCCTAGGGAAGTGGAATCCCATCAGGCAGGGTTTCGTAAACTTTATCCTGGGGTCCCCTCTGGGTGCACGTTTTTGTTTTTGCTCTAGCACTACACAGCTGATTCAAGTAACCAACTCATCATCAAGATTTGATTATTTGAATCAGCTGTGTAGTCCTAGGGCAACAGCCAAAACGTGCACCCAGGGGGGACCCCAAGACCGAGTTTGGAAACTGCCATAAGGCACTGCTTTATTTTTGGAGTTTGCACAATTTTACTCAAAAAAATTGAGAGGCGTTTCTAATTATATGATATGTGCATTTGTTTATGTCTGATGTCGAGACTTAGCACATGTAAAAATATGAAATACCTCCCAAATTAAATATTTTTTACGTAGGTTTATATTTTGTAAAACGACAGGGGGGATTTGTTCATTTGAATTTCACGCTCGTTTTATTTTTTAAAAGTGGAACATGAATTGTATCATTAAAGTCACGAGTGTGTCCCGAAGTTGATGGGTTTATTGATCCCCTTGCCACACTCTGGAAGTCACCCTCTGAGTTTCATTAGCAGCACGTGACAACAGAGGGCCCTCCAAGCGAGTTGGTAGGGGCAAGGCGGTGCTTTGGGATTCACTGTCTCTCTATGCTTATGAGCGAGTGAAGTGAGTTCAGAAAAACTAAAAGTATGCATCCTAGAAATTGTTCTCACATACAAACTTTAGGTAACACTTCATTTGAAGGGTTCCTTATTACAGTGTAATTACATATGTAATTACACTGTAACAAGTATTGTAATTCATTGTAATAATACATAGTTATTAACTGGTGGTAATTGCAGTCTGTAATTACAGACGTGTAACAACGAATGCTTGTTACCATACTTGTTACAAATGTTAAAGTTTCCGATAGCATCCCAACCAATATCCCAATGCACCATATTTCAGTCTGCACATTTCAGCCTGCACAAACCCATAGCCGCGGCAAGTAGGGGTGCAGAACCCCCTGAAAAATCTGAAAGAAAAAAATATATATATATAGAGTACCAGTCAAAAGCTTGGACATACCTACTCATTCCAGGGTTTTTCTTTATTTTTACTATTTTCTACATTGTAGAATAATAGTGAAGAAATCACAACTATGAAATAACACATATGGAATCATGTAGTAACCAACAAAGTGTTAAACAAATCAAAATATATTTTATATTTGAGATTCTTCAAATAGCCACCCTTTGCCTTGATGACAGCTTTGCACACTCTTGGCATTCTGTCAACCAGCTTCACCTGGAATGCTTTGCCAACAGTCTTGAAGGAGTTCCCACATATGCTGAGCACTTGTTGGCTGCTTTTCCTATTCCTGGCCTATTTATTTATGTTGTGTTTGTGCTTTGTATATTAAAACCTTCTCAGTGCATTCAGAAGACCTTTTCTTCCAGGAGAAAATCTAGGACGTTTAGGGTGATGTGACCACACCAATAGCAATGCCACATCCTGTAAGAACATCGAATGATAACAGCATAGTTATACTGTATCTTCTTTGACTATTAAGCATTTAGATTGTAGCTCATTTATTAGCAAAATGCCAGTCAAGAATGTAATTCTCTGCTTCTGTCAAATTTAATTGACATTTTTATTAACATACCCTCAGCATGTGTTGTATAACCTGCTGTAAGGACCTTAGAGCTTTACAAATGAATGAGCATAGAGCTTTGCACTTAGAGCTCATTGTTCTTACAAAGTATGGTTCCTGACACCTGTTCCGCTCTCTGTGTTCTCTCCACAGAACTCCCCAGTTGGGACGGTGCACACTAACCAGGCCACGGCCAGAGAGGAACCAGAGGAACCTGCAGAAGACCAGCCTGAGGAGATCCATGATGGTGAGGAACCAGAGGAACCTGCAGATGACCAGCCTGAGGAGATCCATGACGGTGAAGAACCTGCAGAAGACCAGCCTGAGGAGATCCATTACGGTGAGATAGACTTCTCCAAATTACGTCCCAAAGAGACCCCAGCTGCAGCCCAGGACAGGAACCTGGGTCAGGAGAGTGAGTACGCTGAAATCAATGGGCCAGCAGAGGGGCCAAGGAACCTCCAGTTAACATCCTAGATGGGCTTTACTCACAAGTAAATAAGAAAAGTGCATTTTAAGTATCTTTGGTATGTACAGTATGTATTGAGTATTTGCTTTCTATTGGCAGATTTTTTATTTATAAGTTTGTGCTACTCAATTATTTGCATATTTGTTGAATTTTCTGGTATGTGTGGGTTCCACTAGCAATGGCGGAACCACCTGATTGTACAACTGAAGGCAGTTTAAGGCCATATAAAGTCAACGATGACTGCATTGCTTGCTCTCTGGGGTTTTAGGGTTGGTTTCTGTATATAGTGCCTTCGGAAAGTATTCAGACCCCTTGACTTTTTACAGCCTTATTCTAAAATTGATTAAATAGTTTTTCCCCCTCATCAATCTACACACAATACCCCATAATGACAAAGCAAAACACTTGTTTTTAGAAATTTTTGCAAATGTATTAAAAATTAAAATACGTTAATATCACATTTACATAAGTATTCAGACCCTTTACTCAGTACTTTGTTGAAGCACCTTTGGCAGCGATTACAGCATCGAGTCTTCTTGGGTATGACGCTACAAGCTTGGCACACCTGTATTTGGGGAGATTCTCCCATTCTTCTCTGTAGATCCTCTCAAGCTCTGTCAGGTTGGATGAGGAGCGTTGCCGCACAGCTATTTTCAGTTCTCTCCAGAGATGTTCGATCGGGTTCAAGTCCGGGCTCTGGCTGGGCCACTCAAGGACATTTAAAGACTTGTCCCGAAGCCACTCCTGTTTTGTCTTGGCTGTGTGCTTAGGGTCGTTGTCCTGTTGGAAGGTGAACCTTCGCCCCAGTCTGAGGTCCTGAGCGCTCTGGAGCAGGTATTCATCAAGTATCTCGCTGTACTTTGCTCAGTTCATCTTTGCTTCGATCCTGACTAGTCTCCCAGTCCCTGCCGCTGAAAAACATCCCCACAGCATGATGCTGCCACCACCATGCTTCACCGTAGGGATGGTGCCAGGTTTCCTCCAGACGTGACGCTTGGCATTCATGCCAAAGAGTTCAATCTTGGTTTCATCAGACCAGAGAATCTTGTTTCTCATGGTCTGAGAGTCTTTACCTTTTGGCAAACACCAAGCGGGCTGTCATGTGCCTTTTACTGAGGAGTGGCTTCTGTCTGGCCACTCTACCATAAAGGCCTGATTGGTGGAGTGCTGCAGAGATGGTTGTACTTCTGGAGGTTTCTCCCATCTCCACAGATCTGTGCCTCGACACAATCCTGTCTCGGAGCTCTACGGACAATTCCTTCAACGTCATGGCTTTGTTTTTGCTCTGACATGCACTGTCAACTGTGGGACCTTATATAGACAGGTGTGTGCCTTTCCAAATCATGTCCAATCAATTGAATTTACCACAGGTGGACTCCAATCAAGTTGTAGAAACATCTCAAGGATGATCAATGGAAACAGGATGCACCGGAGCTCAATTTCGAGTATCAAAGCAAACGGTCTGAATACTTATGTAAATAAGGTATTTCTGTTTTTTGATTTTTAATACATTTGTTAACATTTCTAAAAAACAGTTGTCGCTTTGTCATTATGGGATTTTCAAAAAATGTATCAATTTTAGAATAAGGCTGTAATGTAACAAAATGTGGAAAAAGTCAAGGGGTCTGAATACTTTCCGAAGGCACTGTAAGCACTTGTGACAACTGCTGTTGTAAAAAGGGCTCTATAAATACATTTGATGGATTGATTGAGGAAAGAAGACACAAGGGTTTGTAACAAGACAGGAAGTTGGTCAAGTAAGTGTAAATAGCCAGACTGATGATCAAATCTACTGGTCACTGTTCCCCTTTTCTTTAATACAGTTATCTTTATAATGATATTGTATACAGTCCATGTATCTTTTTAGGAGTTATCATGTCCGTTTTTATGTTGTGTTGATCAAAAGACACAATTGAGGCTGATTGAGGTTGTTTATTAATTGCATTGTAATAAAAACCTTTAAATTCAATTTACCATTCAATCTCTTGCTCTTATTGGTTCAACATTTAACATTTCTTAAACATTATATCATAATCATGCATTTTTAATGGAAACAATACAAGTTGCCAAAAAATGCGAATGAATCTTTCCCCCAATGGAATTCAGTTAAAATGTTTTGGTTTCCCTGAGCCAATCAGATGTATTTCCTCCACATGTTCCAAGCCAATGGCCATTCAGTAATCCCAGTGACTAGTGAGAGGCCAGCAGAGCATTTCAAAAGATGTTAATATTCTGCAAAATGTTACAATTAATATGGATATTAAACCTTGTTATGATCAGAGATGATTATTTGGGCTATAGCTTGTAAACAAACATCCAACGCCTTTATTGCAAGATGTCAGTAAGGCACTACTACACATTGATTCTACTCACATATCCATTGACAGTGAGTGACGACTGATCTGCATTCGTCAGTGATGCAGTCGCATCATATCATTGTATTTTCTTACAATTTAGAACCTTTGCTTTACATCTACCCACATATACTCAATGCAGTTTCCACCAAACTGCAATCAGTTGGTCAGTCACTTTTTCTTACCCCCCACCCTACCCATCCCCACCATATTGCAACATCAGTGTAGTCCAATAGTCTAAACTTTCTCTCTTCAACTCTGAGTCATCTGGGCCTCCGCCTCTCCATTCCTGACCCTGTCCTCCAGAGCCTTCAGCTCTCCCTCCACCTGTTGGGGGAGGTCTGCTCCCACCTGCTGGGTAAAGTATGCCCGCAGCTCCTGGGTCTCCTTCTCCCAGAAGGCCTTGGGCAGGTCGAAGAGGGCCCCCATGTCCACATTGCTGCCCAGGCCATGCAGGTTGATGGCTCCCTCCTGTGGCACCCAGCCCACCATGCTCTTCTTTGCTGCCTCGTCCTCCCTCTCGCGGCCGCAGCGTTTGAAGATCCACTCCAGCACGCGGGCATTGTCCCCGAAGCCTGGCCAGAGGAAGGAGCCCGACGTGGGGTCCTTACGGAACCAGTTGACGTGGAAGATCTTGGGCAGGTGGGTGGGGCCCTTGCGGGTCTCCATGCTGAGCCAGTGGGCCAGGTAGTCGCCGAAGTTGTAGCCGAAGAAGGGGCGCATGGCGAAGGGATCATGCATGATGACCTTGCCTGGGGGAAAAAAAGCATTTTAATGAAAAGGTCATTGCTTTATACATTGTCACTGCTGGAGAGGAATCAGGGAATACAGTATACCACCAAATCAGGTGATATTAGTCCTAGATATGTTTTTACTGTTCTATTCTATTATTTTATTTTGTACTCTATAGACAGCTCATATCCATTTAAATTACGTTATAACTAATGTAATTCTCTTTAATGAGGTTTATGAGGTACTGTACCTTTGTACTCAGCAGCTGCTGTTGCCTCAGACCTCATAGAAGCTCCCACAAACACACCGTGCCGCCAGCTAAACGACTCGTACACCAGAGGGACACCTGGGAAAAAGAGAGGTCAGAGGTCAGGACATGGCCAACAGTGTGACATGGAGTGTCCCACAGTGACACACTGGGAGCAAGAATATTAGAACATACAATTTCAAAACAGTTATAATACAGAATCATTTATATTCCAGTTACATCAACCAAACTGAAGCCCCGTAGCCCCGTGTAGCTCAGTTGGTAGAGCATGGCGCTTGCAACGCCAGGGTTGTGGGTTCATTTCCCACGGGGGGCCAGTATGAAAAAATGAATGCACTCACTAACTGTAAGTCGCTCTGGATAAGAGCGTCTGCTAAATGACTAAAATGTCAAATGTAAACTGTATAATTTGTAACACTGGATATACCACCAGAGGCTTGCTGTATAGGAGTGTCTGCTACATGAATAAAATGACAATATAATATTATTATTGTGGTAAATGACAATAAACCAGTATTTTAGTAATTGGATCAGTAGATGGCACTCACCCTCTGGCCTTCTACCCCCGAAGATGATGGCATCGATGGGCACTCCCTCGTCACTCTCCCACTGTGGGTCGATAATGGGGCACTGGGCCGCCGGGGTACAGAACCTGGAGTTGGGGTGGGCACACGGGGCAGAGTCTCCTGTGGAAGAAGAGAAAGAGGGTGAATACTATTAACAGAATAAAACATTATGACAGTATAGAAATTAGTACATTAACATTTCTACAACATTTGATTTGATGGTATGCATATAAATAACTTAGAAACATGATTACATTGTTATTAATGCTACTAGACTCATGTATAAATGCTATGTAGTGATTTACTAAGTAGTTTATGAGCAGATGTTATACTTAAGTGTTACTGTGTACTTTCTCTACCCAATGACAACAAAAGGACAGTGTCACACCATGTCACCAGGTGGCACTAGTGAGTCACCTCTACCTGCCCACTATTAACACAATTCTTAAATTTTTTAATTTATTTAACCTTTATTTAACTAGGCAAGTCAGTTAAGAACAAATTCTTATTTAGAATGACGACCTACCAAAAGGCAAAAGGCCTCCTGCAGGGACAGGGGCTGGGATTAAAAATATAGGACAAAACACACATCACGACAAGAGAGACACCACAACACTACATAAAGAGAGACCTAAGACAACAACATAGCATGGCAGCAACACATGACAACACAGCATGGTAGCAACACCACATGGCAGCAGCACAACATGGTAGCAGCACAGAACATGGTACAAACATTATTGGGCACAGACAACAGCACAAAGGCAAGAAGGTAGAGACAACAATACATCACGCGAAGCAGCCACAACTGTCAGTAAGAGTGTCCATGATTGAGTCTTTGAATGAAGAGATGGATATTAAACTGTGGGTCAACTACAGTGAGTCAACTCTACCTGCCCACAGCCCACTGTTTACACTACAGTGAGTCAACTCTACCTGCCCACTATTAACACTACAGTGAGTCAACTCTACCTGCTTTCCAGGATTTGCCATGCCAGTCAGTCAGGGAGACCCCTGCGGCAGGGGGGTCCAGTCCCTCCCACCATACCCCTCCGTCGCTGGTCTCTCCCACGTTGGTGAACACTGTGTTTTTGGCGATGGTCGCCATGGCGTGAGGGTTGGTCTTCAGGGACGTGCCGGGAGCCACGCCGAAGAAGCCGTTCTCTGGGTTGATGGCCCTGAGTTTACCTGAGGAGAAAGTGACAAGGTGAGTCACAGAGATACATTAAAGGATTTGTTCCTTGAAGGAAGTGATGTTCTCAACTTAATAATTTCCTCTCTAAGAAAAGGAGGGGAAAGGACTTGACAAGTGGGAGTTGCTGGTTATAGTTGCAATGGGTTGTACAATTTGTCTGGCCATGAAATGAATAACATGAGTGTGAAGCTCTAGTATGTTACTGTTTGAGTCTTTACTAGTCGGTCATTGTCTTTACTCTACAGAAGCTCTGAGTCTCAGAGTGTGTTGAGCGTGTATCCCTCCTTTCACCCTGGCTGTCAAACTTCATCCAGGCGATGTCGTCTCCCACACACTCCACAGTCCAGCCAGGCAGCGCAGGCTTCATCATGGCCAGGTTGGTTTTCCCACAGGCACTTGGGAACGCCGCCGCCACGTAACGCTTCACTCCCCAAGGATTGGTGATGCCCAGGATCTGGTGGGGGAGGAGTGACAGAAAAGAGAGAAAGAGGGAGATATTTTCAGAGAGGGTGGGTGTTGCATTGACTGGGCAGTTTCTCCGGTAATGTAGGAACATCAGAAGGAACTAACTAACTACTCACTGCTACTGTATGAGGCACTGACTGTGTCACATATGCTAAGATCTGAATCTTGCAACCCATCTCCTGATATTGCAGGTCAGCACAGAAATCACTATTTTACTCACTATGATCCCTGTCTTTGACCCCCGTCTGCTCTTCATGTCTAAGATACAGTATTCCTGTTGGAACCACTCCAAAAAAGGGAATACAGTCCTGTCTGTGCACCCCTATCGGGTCCCTGTTCTCACCAGCATGTGTTCAGCCAGCCAGCCCTCATCCTTGGCGATGCGCGAGGCGATCCGCAGAGCGAAGCACTTCTTGCCCAGCAGGGAGTTGCCTCCGTAGCCGCTGCCGAACGACAGGATCTGCCTGGTGTCTGGCAGGTGGGAGATCAGCACCTTCTCTGGGTTACACGGCCACGAGTTGACCAGGGGAGCTGGGAGGAGAGGAGGAGGAGGTGGGGAGCATGGGAGGAAGATGGTGATGGAGGGGTGACTATGGAAGCAAGGGATGGAACGAGGTGAGGCAAATGATGCTTGAACGGCATGTATGGCATACTGCTGAACATGTTAAATTATAATTATGTATAATTATGTAGGAGATGTGATATGCAACAATGTTGTTGTTTTCTAAGTTTATGATATAACTTACAAGATGGAGATAGAGAGACAGTCTCTGGGCAGTGGTACCTTTCAGTGGGAGAGGTTGCCCGAGGGAGTGCTGGCAGCGCACAAACTCTGCCCCCTGTGCCAGCTTGTCCATGACTGGGGTGCCCATGCGTGTCATGATGCCCATGCTGGCCACCACGTAGGGCGAGTCCGTCACCTGCACGCCAAACTTAGACAGCGGAGAGCCCACCGGGCCCATACTGAAAGGGATCACATACATGGTTCGACCTGAGGAAGAATGAGGAAATTAAGTAATTAAAATGAACATTGAGAGTTAGACATTATTTCCCATTACAGACAACTCTCAGTTGGCTAGTTGAAAGCCTTGGTGTCTCAATAGAATTTGACCCTTTCAGAGAATCATTTAACCCCACACTTTATTCCTAAACTCTACCATTTGATACGTAATGACTCTTGGCCCTCTTACTGTCTAAGTTGTCTAATTAGTCCAAATTGGACTTCAGTAGTGTAACATTATAACACTTGACACAACGATGATAGTCAACTACAACACTTGCCACTGACGTCTTAGCTAGTTATTTTGGAGGTTTAGGCCCAGTTTTCTGTTAGGCAAAAAAAGGCATTTAAAAAAGTGATAAACCCAATTTGAATGAAGACTGACACTCCATTACAGACAACTGATACAGACAGCTGAAACTATAGAGGGGTTGTGTTAGCCTCTTGTCTGAAAAGTGTGTTGTGTACAGTACAGTACCTGCCATGCAGCCTGGGAAGCGGTCCTTTCTGGCCTTCTGGAAGTCACCCTCACTCATCCAGCTGCCCAGCTGGCTCTTAGCCCCCCCATCGGGGATGGGGATGGTGTCCCTCTGGTTCTTGGTGACGATCACTGTCTTACTCTCCACGCGAGCCACATCCTTGGGGTCTGTGCGTGCCAGCCAGCTGCCCAGAGAGAAAAGCCATAAACAGACTATTAATTACCTTATCATTCTTTATGGCAGTGAGTATAACAGGCCTGGAGTCTTTCGTTGATCTCCAGGGCCACAGTGGAAAAAGTGACCCAAGAGATTCTTTGATGTATGACTGATATTGTTTCAGATTAATATTACCGAGCCATACAGATTACTTTGTTTGACAGACTTACTCTCAATAACGTACATTCAATTTAAGAATTCTTCACTAACCAGAATAATATTAATGTATTCTGCTCTACATTAACTTAGCTCGCTAGCTAACTTAACCTGCTTTGTGACATAAAGACCCAGATTCCTACTGTTCACAAAGATCACAGCAGCACTCACCAGTTCTCATACTTCGGTAGCTTCTTCACCATGCCCCCTTTCTCCAAGCCAGCTAGGATGTGAGCCGACTCTTCTGCAGTCCCCGTCACCACATGCACATTGGCCGGCTTGCACTCATCCATCGCCCCCTTCACGAAGTCAGCCACCGCTGGGGGCAGAGAGGGGATCGAGGCCAGGGAGCGGACCCCCACGGATGCCCCAACGCCACCCCGTCTGTACCAAGACACAGGGTGGTAACAGTGGGTGTGTTACGGAGGCTTACAGGGAGGGAACTGTATTCAAACATACTGTATCATACAGACATGATATTAGGTTGCTGGCTGATATCAGCTGTAAGAGGAGCAATACTATGATAATTTAGCAACTCGCAGTTATCAAATAAGATGTGCTCCAAATGGATATCAAATTTAAATCTGGTGTTAAAATAGGCAACACAATAGGAACAACATTTAAACACTAGGTAGCAAGATGCACAATGGTAGCAAGATACACAATGGTAGCAAGATACACAATCAACCTCTTCAGTATGGTTTCAGGGATGCAATTCTATGGAGAGCAGATTAAAGGAAAAAGTGTCACTACATTCCTACTATTACTGCTAGTATTAGAGCAATCCACACGTAAATAATGCATTGGTGTAATCTACTAATGTAGTGTCACTGAGGAGTAGACTTCGGTTCTTCTCCAATCGCATTCTTGGGAATTTTGTTTTACCTAAACCACGGCAAGCACTGTGAATGTGTTACTTCTGAACATAATCTAGAATAACATTTCATTATCAGATGTATAGTTAGAAACAAATAATATCCATACATGTTCACTATTATTCAATCATCTGCGCGAGACACAGACATCACTATGACCTAAAACTCAAATGACTTTTAAGAGGAAAGGCCATCGACAGACCAGATATATCCCAAACCAGCTTGGTTTTCCTGCTCTTCCTTGGGCTCCTTAATTATATAAATGAGTGGCAGGAAGTTGCCATTGGGATGCAAACTACAGCCTAGGGCACTGCAACCTGAGACTTCAGCTCAGAGCTCTTTATAATGTTGGGGGCACATAGGGGGGCTTTCTTTTGTTTGTTAACAGCACAGTGTTCACAAACAAGGGCAAAACACAATCAGTTACAACATGTGTTAGCGCTCCGACTAGCTGACTAGAAACACCAGGCACGATGGTCAATGGTTTGACTCCAAAAAACTCTGAGGAGGATTCTGTGTCCTCAGATGCACTCTTCAATTGAAACTTTGTTTTTAAAAAATAAAAAATACTCCTTATACTGACGTGTCTAGGAACCTCTGGAACTGGTTTGGCTACCTCTTTGTCTCTAGGAGCTGCATTATAATTTGACTCACATTCCAACTCATGGCTAGGTCTATTGACTAATTTGGCTATGAATTTAAATCACACTATTCTACCTTGGTAGCTAGTTGAAAGACAGGTTCCGTTAAAAGTGCTGACAAAGTCTGTCCCAATTGGCTGCATTGTGGGTGTCATTAAACTTCCCGTGTACACAACAACTGCCATTTCTAAAGGAAGGGGTAAAGGCTGCCCAGTGTCCTATTTGCAAACTGAGAATATAGATTGTTGTTGATGGGAAAATGCCCAATGTCACAGGGAACAAGTATTGTTTAAACACTGTTTAACCATTTATGTTATGAGAAGTCATCTTAGATCTTCTCCAGTTTATGAAGTCTATTATAAGTGACACATTTCTGCATGCAGTCGACCAGATGTGTGTATTGAGAAACTTCAGACTGGGAGGGAGGGAGAGAGAGACCTTTTGCCCACAAAGTACTGGGCAGGAAAAGAGAGAGCAAGCAAGCTGACAGAAAATGAACCAGGAGAGGAGAACGGTTAGGCTTTCCACCCTTTCCTCTGTGTATAATGCCATTCTCAGGAACAGGTCACTGCAAGCAGACTAAACTGAAAATCTATTGAGTACATACTGTAGGAGCGTTTGTCCTGTCATGCAACCAATTATCTAAACTATACAAGTGCTGTTCAATATTAACAGAATATAATTACTTAGGAGCCCAATCGTTAGAGTAATCACTTGAGTGTCTGTCTATAACTTAACTAACGGTAAATAAGAATTAGGGAGCCGAGAGTGAGTGGTTGGTTTCTATTTTTCCTTTAAACCAGGGATCATCAACTAGATTCAGCCACGGGCCAATTTTTTCTTGAGCAGATGGTCAGGGGGCCTGAACATAATTACAAATAATTTGTTGACTGCAAATTGACCGCAAGAAGCCCAAAAAGATATAATATTTGACTAAAATATAATCATTTCAAAACATACTTACATTTGTAATATAATGCTTGGGAATTCTTGAGAACAGATTTCCAAAATATAAATAACTTGGAGCTGATTTCCTGGTGTTTTTACAGTCTTTTATGTATGTCCAACAATGAAAAAAAATATATATATAAAAATATGTTTTTTTTTTGCTCAGAAAACTTTGGGGCCAAATAAAACTACCCCAACTAGCGGCCTGAAATAAATCTCCCTCTCCTCCGTTTCACCTTTGACCTCTGAAAGCTCCCTCTCTCTCCCTCCCTCATCACTCCTCTTTACCCATCACCCACTTTTGACAGATTGTCATGGTAGATGTATAAGGTAAAGGGAGAGAATGTGCTCAACATAACGTTTGCTCGTATGTATTGTATAAGCTCCAAAAGTCCCAGCTCCCACTACAAGTACCATAGCAGCACTTCTGTACAAATCTACTTGTGTAATTTTGCAATGCAGCTCACCATACCTAAGTATGATATGTTACGAATTGCAATTTGTACAATGTTACGAATTTGCTAAAAGTATGATATGTTACGAATTCCAATTTGTTGTGGCTAACGTTAGCTAGGTGGCTAACGTTAGCTAGGCTAGGGGTTAGGGTTTAAGGTTAGGAGTTAGTTTAATTAACCTCTTAAGGATCGGACCCTTTCTTTAAATTTTCGCCTAAAATTACAAATCTAAATGCCTGTAGCTCAGGACCTGAAGCAAGGATCTGCATATTCTTGATACCATTTGAAAGGAAACACTTTGAAGTTTGTGGAAATGTGAAATTAATGTAGGAGAATATAACACATTCGATCTGGTAAAAGATAATACAAACAAAAATTATATGGTGATACAAAATGTAAGTTTACACACTCCCATATATGCAAATATCTTTATCTTGGCCAGGTCGCAGTTGTAAATGAGAACTTGTTCTCAACTGGCTTACCTGGTTAAATAAAGATGAAATCAAATAAATAAATAAAAAATAGACCATCGCCATTATATGGATCTGTGCCATTCACTTTGAACTGGACTGTTTTTACAGCATGAGCGGTCGTGAGTAGATGGGCTTGTTTTAAGATCAAAGCAAGAGCTAGACGTAGCGACGTATGCACATTTGTACATTCATATCCTTTGCTAATTAGTGAGTTATTAGCCCAGTTATAGATCATTTGTAGTCAAATTAGTGGGGGAGTGACTGCTTCCTGCATTTCTAGACACCTTTGAAAAGTGAGTCAGGCAAAGATATTTTTTTTGTCTTAAAGGGGCAGTGTTTTGAGACAGGCTTGAATACGTTGTTTTTTTGTTGTTGTACTTTTTTGCCCTTTTCTCCCCAATTTCGTGATATCAAACTGGTAGTTACAGTCTTGTCCCATCGCTGCAACTTCCGTACGGACTCAGGAGAGGCGAAGGTCGAGAGCCATGCGTCCTCCGAAACACGACCCTGCCAAGCCGCACTGCTTCTTGACACACTGCTCACTTAACCCGGAAGCCAGCCGCACCAATGTGTCGGAGGAAACACCGTACAGCTGGCGACCGAAGTCATGCGCCCGGCCGCCACAAGGAGCCGCTAGAGCGCGATAGGACAAGGACATCCCAGCCGGCCAAACCCTCCCTTAACCCGGACAACGCTGGGCCAATTGTGCGCCGCCTCATGGGTCTCCCGGTCGCGGCCGGCTGCGACACAGCCCGAGATCGAACCCGGATCTGTAGTGATGCCTCTAGCACTGCGATGCAGTGCCTTAGACCGCTGCGCCACTCGGGAGGCCCAGGCTTGAATAAGCTAAGTAGCCAATAGGCGAGGGTAGCATAATTTGTCTGATTCTCTGTAATAATGATATGGGAATAATTATGCATTTTATTTTGTAAAGTGGTTTCTTGCATTAAACACCACAACAACATTTTCAGTCACCTCCTTGTCTGAAGGATAAGTGGATAAACAAGTTAGTTTATGGAATGAAGGCCTACATTGAACATCACACATTGGCTGCTACTGTAGGCTGAACGATAGAACACCTATTTCCATGTTAAAATGTTATGGGATGCATTGTTTTTTATGGTAGGCCACTCTGGTAGGCCTACATTATGATCAAATAGCCACAGTAGCCTACTTAACCACTGTTAAAACTAACTTAAAGCGGGTGCAGCCTCATTGTTCACAGTAAACATGCACCGGAAGTTGCACAGAATTTTCATAATGTTCAAGTTTGCGCTCAGCAGACCAGAAATTTGCTCAGTGACCAAAAACATTTGAGGGAACATTGCTTGTGACTACTGTGATATTTACAGTCAAATTGAGCTGCGGAGCAAGAATGTCGCGTTACCAGCCACAACAAAAGGTAAGGCAAGGATGTAATGTCAATTGAAAAGTAGAATTATCTTTAGCCACCACGCTCCTCAGACTCTCCTTCATATCTCGTAGTGGGAATAGGGCCTAGTCAGGGAGAGATATGTGAGAACAAAGATAGCCATGAAAATGTATAATTTCTCAACCTCTGTGGCCCTCTCTTTGGGTTCCAGCTGGGCTTTGCTTAGTCTCATTTCCACAAGGACAATGCAACACGCCTCCAAAAATGTAGACGAATCACCATGCACCACACACAGTCACACCCACACTGCCCCAAAATGTAATGTTAATAGCTTGGTCCATAGGGCATTTTCAGGAACTGAACAGAAATGCACGTAGCACAGTAAACATACAGTAAACATTCATTCATCATACATAAACATGCAGAAGTAAGGCATTGAAACGTCTATGTCAATTAGGCAGCTACACAAATCCTGACAGTGCACTCTCTTGACAATCTCGAATTTACTATGATGCTGTTTCAACACACACATATACACACACCAATAACAAATGCATAGTAGACACAAAACATAGAACCCTCTCAAGTTTGTAAGACTGACAGACAGTGTCATGCAGTTCATTCTGAAAAGTAAGACAAGATGCACTCAAGACTGCTCACATACTTGTTAGTCTCTGTGTGACGTCACCAAACAGCCTAGAGAAAGAGTGGTGAAGAGAAAGTGGAATGACAGAGATTCAAATCAATAGGATCTTGAAAATCTGTCCGTCATTTTCTATCTCAGAGGTGAACAGCTTTTGAAATCTGGTCAGTCAGGTTTGTGCACCTCCAAATCGGTCAGACACAAACCAAAACCCACAATGTTGTGTGTGCTGTGCTATATGTCTGTGGCATTTTCTATTAAGATCTTTCTTTATAGTTCAGTGACATTGGGGTCATTCCATGTCATTTCAGCAAGCCATTACACCCACCATCTCAGATTGTTTTGAAATCATTTCTGTAGTTAGAAACAGATACGATTCGCATTCCTGAACCATTATTTTGTTGAAATGTTATTTGATTTATGAGAAATAATAAAAACGAATTGATGCCACCCAAATTGTCCCTTTTAATTTATAGGATTCACATAATATTCAACAAATTATAGTACCCAACAACTGATTTGAACCAAACTTCATCCTATCATTGAGTAAGACATGAGGAATCCAATAAAATGGTCAAAAGCCACCCACCGATCCCCAACACTCCACGCCAATCCCACCCTAACAACCAGTATACAGTATCAGTTCTCTATGTTTGACAAGTAGTATGGTTCTGCTTCTTGGAGTATTGTCTCTTCACCTTTTGTAATGTACTCCCTGTGAATCTGGTGATGTTTTATTGCACCTGTTTAGAGAAATTAGCCATTGAATTCGCTTGCATTATTTACCATAAATTAGTGTGAAAGTAACAGGTTTTGCCCACTAGCTGCCGCTGTTCCTGCTACTACCACCACACGCTTTTAACAATTTTGCTGGTTTAAAAAAAGAATCACAACATTTTCTTTGCAACTTTGGATAGAAAACCAAAAGCTTTTGCTCATGGTGAAAATAAATTGTGTGGGCAACTGTGTTGTCAAGCCGGTCCTCCATGAAAGCAATTCAGTTTGTCGTTCTCTTAGCAACCTAATACTTCAACCCAACTCGCCTTGAATAGTCCAACAACTGGCAGCTCTCTGAGGGCTATCCTTATGGTGCAAATCTCATATGAAGACTTTGCCTACAAGCCCAAAACTTTCATCGAGAAATGGGCTAGTGAATAACATTTTGTGAAAACCCTAATAAAATAAAACAATTATCGGAAATGGCCAAGTTGGGTGCAATCAATTAGCTTATTTTCTCAGAGATCAAATTATATTTCAACAAAATAATGTTTCAGGAATGCTAACCTTATCTGTTTTTAAGTACAGAAATGATTTCAGAACAATCTGAGATGGTGGGTGTGGAAATCCTCTTTCTTGTGATTTTTGGAGGTGGAATGACTACTCATTGGCTATCTTGGATTTATTCTTTCCTCTGATCATTTTAAAACGAGACTGTCAATTTCACAACAAATGACAATCAAGTTGGAGATGATGAATGGCTAATTGCAGTGCTTTGCATAGTCTTCAATAGGATTTACCATTCAACAATGAGGATATTTAATCCTTAGTTTATGGACATGTAATCTCTAGTTCATGTATCCTTAACATTTGGTTACAATGGATCTCTGATATTCCCTGAGTTTGCCATCATAAACATATACCCTATCATCATAACAAGGATGTTTGCATAGGATTGCTGCCAACAGCCATATCATGAGCGAGATTGCGATAACTGGTAAAAGTATCCTATCCACGATAGTGATATTACTAATTCATGACAATTAATTTTATACCATCATCACCATTCCATGATTTGCCTACTGCAGTTGCAACATTTTAAATATTGCAAGGCTGCGAACAGGTCAAATAGACATCAAGTACACTATATACAGCATACTGTGCCATGGTTAGTCAAAAAGGAAATATGATGTTTCAAATTGCAATACGCTAGATACTCACCTTCTGATAACTCCAAGCAAAAGACACGACATATTGTAAAATACTAAAATGGGTTAATAAAATAAAAATAAAATAGATATCTTTACAAAAAGACGAGAGACGTATGCGCTTTAGGACCAACCACAACTCATATCTGATTGGCCTATGAAGAAGAACTCCAATGTTGAGGTAACCTGGTGTAGGCTAATGAGAGAACCTTGTACTTTGCAACACGTGTAACTTATCCGAGAGGCATACGCCTTGATCCAGGTTCTGCGCTTCGTTCTCCAAACCGCAGCCTGTTGATGATGCCTGATAACTTCAATGCAAACAAATAGCCTACCGATTGCTTACATGCACCAAGCTAAATGTATTTTTCTTTCGTCAAGTAATCCAGCAGTAGTCTAGGCTATTGATAACGTAGTTCTTCGTTAAATCCGTTCAGCAAAGGTTAGCTATAAAACAGGACTGCCTGAAAACAAATAATGAAAACAAATAAAAGGTCTGCGAGGTGTTTCTCATGTTAAACGTAATTGCTTTCAATAACACAGCAAAGAGGAAAAACAAAGTACAGCATTTCATACAACTATCATATATCCTGTCCCTGCTTCTCCATATCCACTGTTTACAGCCCATGCAACAAAAACGCCTCTACCGGCTGATGCAAGTTCTGAAGTTCCTATATCAGCCAAGACAGAACAGCCACGGTGGTGACTGGCACCGACGGCATATGGATGGAGAATCAATTGTTTAGGAAGATAGTTGTCCGCTTTTGGTGTGTGCTCGAATGGGACATGCAGAGTCAGCTGAATAAATGCAAAGTCGCTTAAAAAGTAGTACAGCGGAAGGATATCTCATATTGACAATTGGCTACTGAAATTATCTTGACCCAGTTGGTCTAGGTGAGGGCAATCCAAAAGTGTTATTTATAATGGCCATAATATGGTAGGCCAACCTGCGTTATTACACCCACGCCATATGCCAGTGCTTAATTTGAGCCGGATCCTGCCGGAACAGGATCAGCCAACACTCCGCTTAGGCCTGTTTCGTTCCGGAACCTATTTGGCCGGATCCGGTACCTCTCGTGGCATGAAAAATAATTGTCACTTTTTGAAATGTAAAAATTGTAATAAACGCGATCAAAGTTCATTCGAGTTGCCTCTTCGTTAATTCCAAATATTATTTAACAAAGTAAAACGAGAGAGAGAGAGTCTTGGCACGGGAGCGGCGCTCATATGCCATCACTAGCGAGTGAGCTGCACATTATTAGGTGAGTCAGTGAAACTAGAAAGCATTTTTAGGACTATAATTTCCTCCTCATATTGTAGCATATAATATGTCTCAACAGACCTAGGCCTAGGCTATTGATGGATTCAAGGTCGTTTTCATTGTCAAAGTAGCCTATTTCGATCATGTGTGCGGTATTATGGTACTTTCAAGACAACTGGTCGGAAAGTCGGAGCTCTAGAAAGAGGCCAGAGTTCCCCACTTGGAATTCCGAGTTGGATGACCGAATTTTCCCAGTAGGAGCTCGTTTTTTACCAGTTGTCTTGAATGCAGTTAAATCGGAAGTCGGAGATTTCCCAGCTCCGAGTTCCCAGTTGTTTTGAACGCGGCATGAAAAAAATATTACGCTTCATTAACCTAGGGCTTTATAGACAATAAAAGCACAGTGCATCGATCTACTAGACTTCAAGCAGGGCCAGCCTACTTTCTGATACAAAATGCAATGATGTGTACTGAGCCTATTGCCCGTAATAAAGAGCAATGCGCTATGATAAACTGCGTCAGCTGCATTCATGAATAGACCAGGGGTCCCAAATTACATTCAGCTGTGGGTCGATTTTTCCTTGAACGGATGGTCAGGGGGCCTGAACATATTTATACATTATTTGTACACTGCAAATTGACTGCAATAATTCCAAAGATATAGTATTTGACATAACAGAATAATGTCAAACCTTGATTACATTGGGATAAGATCGCATATGCCCCTATTTATGCGTGGGAATACTTGGGAAAATCACTTTGAGCTGTATTCCTGGTGATTTGACAGTCTTTTTTTGTATATATCTGAAACCCTATTTTTATTCTTAATTTCTTAACTCATCAGCATGCTTTTTGAAAGATAGCTTTTAATCAATCCAGATCAGTGGAGGCTGGTGGGAGGAGCAATAGGAGGATGGGCTCATTGTAATGGCTGTAATGGAATCATGGAACAGAGTCAAACATGTGGTTTCCATATGTGTGATGTGTTTGAGACCGTTCCATTGATTCCATTCCAGCCATTACAATGAGCCCGTCCTCCTAAGGTCCTCCAACTAGCCTCCACTGATCCAGATGCCCAGATATTTATAAGTGGGGACACGATCAATGAGGGCACCATCCAAAGTATGCATGCATAAATCATCAGAAACATTTTTACGTGATTTGGAAAATAACGTACACTTGCTTTTACCTGCATTTAGTACCAATTTCAGTCTGACAAATGCTTTCTGCAGGGCAATAAAGGCAGATTGAAGCTGTGAAAGAGCCTGGTCAGCTGTGGGGGCAATATCATACAGGTGAACATTTTTTAAATTTAATTTTTAATTTATTTTTTACAGATAAACCAATATTGTTAATGTAAATAGTGAAAAGAACCAGACCAAGAAACGATCCACGTGGGACACCCTTTGTTATGTCCTGATTTAACACCATCAGTAAATACACACTGTGTTCTGTCCTTTACATTTTTTTCAAACCAGCTACATGCAGCCTGGTCCAGGCCAATTGATGAAAGCCTCTGAATAAGTAATGAGTGGTCCACAGTGTCGAAGGCTTTGGACAGGTCAATAAAAAGGGCCATAAAAAGGGCCGCACAGTGTTTCTTCTTATCCGAACAATTAAGAACATTATTTAAAACCAAAGAAGAAGCAGAGATGTTGCCTTCTGTGCATTTGTAGTTTGATTTTGATATGTTATTTTTGTACCTTCAGTCAAAGTTTAGTAGGCCTGAACTGTATTAGCGGATGGGACCAAAAGCTGCTGAACTGCAATCAGTTCTGTCCACAAAGAGATTGTCTCCCTTTTCAGAATCTACAAAAGCAATGCAATGTCTGAGCCTGGTCTGAGAATGATGCAAATTATACATTTCCTGTTAATGTTTCCAAGTTAGAGAGAGAAGGAGATAGGAAAACATGAAGGGGGAGGGGACATTGTATGGACAATGAGAGAGAGAGACAGAGAGAGACACTGACAGGTGGGTAGACAGGGGTCAAAGTAAGATAAGCCAACAGTGCCTCTGGTTAAACTTCAGCCTGTAAACAGTGACATGGCCTACAGAATCAGCAGCCATACGCTTTTCAGGCACCCACAGATGCAGTCCTCGGTTATCAAAGAGAACATTCAGAAATGCTGCTGCTGGCAGAAAAGGCATTTGAAGCTCAAGTAATGGTTGCAGTGTGGGTTAATACACTCCTCTTATCTTACATTGAGAGTCCATGAGCGAGGCCTAAAGAGGCCCATCATAGAAGGTTACATGTAGGCTGATAAGGGATCAACAACTGTAAAAAGTAAAGTCTCGACCAGACCCTGGTCAGGCCAAGGAATGTCTGTTGTTCATTTGTTTGCATACTCAAATCAGGTCACAGAACCAGGATAGAAACTCAAATGTAATCTTCAAATGCACATTCAAAAAGAGAAGGCAGACAATGCTTTTATGATACTGGTTTGGTTGAAATATTTTAGAAATGTTTCCCCTTTGTTTTGAACCAAAATGAAAGGTATTGGGCTGACGATCAAACAATAATTATTTATGCTTGTTCTTTCATAACGTGACTAATGTGTCAACAATTAAACTTGATTCAGAATTGTATTTTTTGTTTGAACTTATACCATTTAATGGAACACGTTTATGGTACAGAACACAACTTCTATTAACATGTCAGTCAACCTTTGCCACTCTCCTTTGTTTCTTTCCTAAATGCTCCCCTCCCCTTTCTCGTCTGTCATCCATTGAGGAAAGACCTTTGGTCAGTATATTTCGCAAGTAGGCAGAAGTGAAAAACAACTCAAGTTTTAATCACTCACTCAATCACATCAATCAATAATTAGTGGTTTTGCAAACACTTCAGGGTGACTTTTCCCCTTTGGATTAAATGCATCACAAGCAAAGTCTAACTAAAAGTTCTGGGCCATTTTGTGTAAATCTTCATTGACTGTAATGGAGATACACTGAGTGTACAAAACATTAGGAACACCTGCTCTTTCAATGACATAGACTAACCATGTAAATCCATGTCAAAGTTATGATCCCTTATTGATGTCACCTGTCCACTTCAATCAGTGTAGATGAAGGGGAGGAGACAGGTTAAATAAGGATTTTTAAGCCTTGAGACATGGATTGTGTATGTTTGCCATCCAGAGAGTGAATGGGTGAGAAAATACTTAAGTGACTTTGAACAGGGTATGGTAGTAGGTGCCAGGCGCACCAGTTTGACTGTGTCAAGAGCTGCAACGCTGCTGGGTTTCCTGTGTGTATCAAGAATGGGCCACCACCCAAAGGACATTCAGCCAACTCCTCATATTGCAGCATATAATGACACAAATGTGGGAAGCATTGGAGTCAACATGGGCCAGCATCCCTGTGGAACGCTTTCGACACCTTGTAGAGTCCATGCCTCGACGAATTGAGGCTGTTCTGAGGGCAAAAGGGGGTGCAACTCAATATTAAGAAGGTGTTCCTAATGTTTTGTACACTCAGTGTACACGTGAAGTACATATCCAAGAGAAAATTCAATACATTTTTGTGCATTTTCCTTGCGTGCTCGTAATGGTTTGCATCTTTCTCCTTTGACTGAAATTGATTATGAATGTCTCAGCAGCCAAATTAGATAATTCCATCATTGCAACACACCAAAGCAAAACAGGGACCCTCAGACAATACAGCCCTATATGATAAGTAACTAAACTATTGATGCTTTATTGGAGGTCTGGAGCAGAGAGGGGGTTGTAATCAGTGTAAATACTGGATGTCTGCAACACTGATACACTCCCACAAACATGTTTGAATACACTCTTAGAAAAAATGGTTCTTAAGCTGTCCCCATAGGAGAACGCTTTTGGGTTCCATGTAGAACCCTATGTGAAAAGGGTTGTACATGGAACCCAAAAGGGTTCTACCTGGAACCAAAAAGGATTCTCCAAAGTGTTCTCCTATGGGGACAGCCGAATAACCCTTTACGGTTCTAGATAGCTCCACTGATATAAAATCAAATCAAATTGTATTTGTCACATGTGCCGAATACAATGCAGTTTTAAGAAAAATAAGTGTTAAGTAAAAAATTGATAAGTAAAAATAAAAAAAGAAGAAAAATAGCAAATAACTAATAAT